TAGCGTTCAGAAATGTAGTCTAAGAAGAAGAAGAAGAAAAAGCTTAAGTAGCAGATCAGTAGGTTGGCTTTCTCAAGTCTGGTCCACATTGCAGTTCATTCTGACCATGAGCTGAATAATGATATGAGAATATTAGACTGGAAAATCAGAAAATCTCCAAAACTTTTAGTTATTATTTGGTTATTACTTATAGTTTTAGATCATTTATAATTTATTAAAAACATAATTTTTATTTTAGCTATGATGTACTAAAATAACTAGTGATGTACTAAAAAACTAAAATTAGAACTAAAATAAAAATGAATGCTTTTTAAAGTTAACACACACACACACACACACACATATATATATTATATGTGTGTGTGTGTGTGTGTGTGTGTTTATATATATACAAAATTACTGAAACATTTTAACTAATTAAACTATATAATCGTTTAAAAAATAATAAAATTGACAAAAACATAATTGCTAAAACTTAAAAAAAAAAATGTATTAAAATGAATGTAAACAAAATGTAAACATAAAAATGGATTCAAATGATTACTGACTATACTAAAATAGCACTGCTTGCTGTGACTGAATGCGGATGTAACTCACTCATCTGTTCAGGTTGATCTGATTAAATGTCCCTAATTTAGGGTATTAAAATTAAAGAGAAGAATATTGTTTCATCTAAATTCTTTGTGTTCTATTATAGAGAATGCTACGGTAGTGAAACTGAAAGCAGTGACATGTTTTGAGACAGAAGCACTTCTGAACTGATTCATGAAGCAGAAATGAAGATGTTTACATGCACATCAGTTGATAACTACCAGAAATCAGTTTATTGAAATGACCGGTTTAAACCGTTCACATGCAAACCAATAAAAAATAAAAACAAATATTGCAAAAAAAAAAAGGCCAAATATTACCTAATTTGATGATTCAGAGTTCAAAATTATAAATAAAAACATTCCATCAAGTACATCGTTTTTTTTTCTATTTAATTTTTTTTATGCAATAGCAAAGCAAAGCATTCAAAATGTATCATTTAACTTACAATCTGCAACGTGGAAAATGTGATCGAATGCTCCATTAAGTGCCAAAGAACTTCAAATAAACACAAGTTTATAAATAAAACAGCTTTTATCCCAAATAATCAGTGATTTCCTGCGGCTGTTTGGATGCAGTACAAGTAGAAAACTTTGCATTTTCTTCCGTTATTGGCCACAGTTCTACGTAACATCAGGATCGGGCATAAAATAATGTCGTGCACATGAAAATGGGCTGAAAATGGTTCAAATAGAGACACGAGTCGTGTGTTTGTGGCAGCCTTTCTGCTGATTAATGGAAAATACAAGATCGTTCACCTTACGAATGCAGGTTGAAAGCTAAAGTGCTATGAGATGCACATATTTAGTGAGCGCGTGTGGCATGCTATAGCAAACAGACAGCACCCCAGAATCAGTGAGAAACAAGTATTGGATTTTATTCAGCAAATATGGTGCAGGACAGTGTTATTAAAGTGTACAAAATGCTTAAAGCAGCCTAACATGGTTTGCAGATCTCATCTGGCCATGGAGGTAGATTCTGCTTTAATAGTTAACGCTTTCCTATTGACTGGAACAGTGTTAACTGATGGTATTTTCCATCCTTACGAACACAAAGCAGCAGCAGCAGCAGCGTCTCATGAAAGGCTGACACGAATGGAGCGTCTGATGGCGATGAAATGTCTCTAATATAATGTGCTCTCCTCAGATAGCGCTGTTGACATCCAGGAGAGAACCACAGGCCTCTGTGAAACACAGAGGAAAGCTGCTTTTCATTCATGTGTGCGTGTGTGAGGACTATCAAAAGTAGGGATGCACCGGAATGAAAATTCTTGGCCGAAGCCGAAAACGAAAAAAAATTAAACACCGGGCCGAATACCGAACACGGTTTTTTGAGTTTTTTTCCCCATGTATTTTTCCAAAATTTTTTTTCACCATTGCATAAATTAAAAAGCCAAAATGTGCTTTTTACTGTTTTGTCTTGCTTTTCAAAGAAAAAAAAATCAATTACAAAACAACAATTTAAAAATATTTAACACTGAACATTTTTAACATTCTAGCAGACACTATACCAACAAAGCACAATTTAACTTAAAATTAATAAGTTAGTAAAATAATAATTTTTGGCCATCAGACCCCCTTCTTGAATCATGCAATGCGCGCGTATATTAGAAAACATAACGTTGTGCAGTTTATTTACTAATTGTTTAAGACCATTTCTTGATTTCAATCATCATAACAGTAACCAGCAACAATCACCCCTTCCTCTTCTCACTGAAGACATGCGATGCAGTCCTAAACAGTCTCTCGCTGTCGGTGCTTGTAATGATTTTTGCGTCTTTCTCCGACAGTTTAAATGCTTCCACACTACTGACGTGTGTGCTGCATAATAAAGAGTGCGCGCCTCTCACTCTACGCTGGTTGCTATCTGATCGCGTCATATCATTGTTCGGTACAACTTATTCTGTCTTTTCGCTTATCGCTTATGCACCGAATGTTCGGCAACCGAAATTTTTATATTTATATTAATAATTTCGGTTGCCGAACATTCGGTGCATCCCTAATCAAAAGAGATTTCACCTCTCCATCGCAGCTTCCCTTCGCTTGTCTGATGATCTTGTTCGCTTGTGTGCTCCACACTGACCTCAGTCAGGCTAACTGGAGTTAAAGGGTTAGTGGAGAAAAGTCATTTACTCACCTTCATGTTGTTCTTGGTTAATTGTTGAAACATGAAGTTAGATGAGATGAAAGAGAGGTTTCTGTTCCTGCTTCTGTCCAGGGAACATAAAAGACTATAAATGCAGCGGTTTTAATTGAAGTCTCGTGCCATCACTTTATATGATGAACAGATTTAGTCATTTATTCACAAATAAACACACAAACACTGCTGTTTACCATACGAGTATTGTTTAGATGGGAATAAAAGCCTCATTTAAATCTGCTCAGCGTAGTGATCGTATCTCATCACAAGATTTGGATCGCGCAGTTCATTTGGATTTGTTTTGCGAAGGCTTTTTTAACGTTTTGGATCTTCTGAGTTTTGGTTACCCGGACCTTCAGTGGGAAACAGAAACCTCCGGGGTTTCATTAAAAATGTCTTCATTTATGTTCCGGTGATTAACCAAGATTCTGGGTTTGTAGCAACATGAGAAAACGGCAGAATGTGTCATCAAAGCCATGTGTTGATGCGTTTCCCAAAAGCATCTGCGGTCGATATCTCTGTTGTTACTAGCATAGCTCAGCATTGCATGGTTGAACTACAGCTCTCAACCTGCGCTTACACCTAGAGATGTAACGATTCACTCAACTCACGATTCGATTCACAATTTGTTTTTTACTAAACGAGATTTAAGACAAATTATAAATTAAATGTGTCCTTTTATTATTGCTTGGACAAAATGCTGCACGTTTCTTTGTGAAATTGAAATATAACACTATAATAATATACTAATATAGCACTTGCATATCATTGCTCTTTTGTTGTTTTTGATGGCTTTTATTGTCCTCGTTTGTAAGTCGCTTTGGATAAAAGCGTCTGCTAAACGCCTAAATGTAAATGTATTAACTGTGTTTACAGTTATTCATGAGATTGTACAATGCATTATAGACATAACTGATGCATTAAAACTACTTTTATAATGCATTATACATAAAGGCGTTAAGTAAAGTGTTACCGAACTTTCTTAAACCAGATGGTCAATAAAGAGACTGTTATTGAATCACATCTATCTAGTTAAACGTTAAAAGATCAAAACCTTGAAACGTGAACAAATCAAACGTGTCAAGCGTTCTGAAAAACACGGAGCAGCTGTACTGAAGTGCTGTAAGAGCGTATCAGGTGACCGCTGCTCATTCTTCTGCGCTTACAGACCTTCCCGATCAATACTTCTGCAGATTCTACAAGCTGTTAATCTGCTGCAAATGGCTAACTAAAGATTTTCTGCTCCTCTGTGTATACACACACACACACACACACACACACACTCTCACACACACACACACACACACACACGCCTCTGCTCTGACCATATGTCTGCACTCAGAGCCACAAGCTGTCGAGGGTCGGAGGAGTGCTGGAGTGTGTGTGTGTTAGGGCTGTGCAATTAATCGAAAAACCGTTTCGATTTCGATTTTGGCCTCCAACAATTATGAAAATACTATAATCGAGATAAAACTATTATTGCGCCCCATTCCGCCCCCTTTTCCAGCGCTGCGCTTACGTTCCTCCGTAAAAGGCCAATTTCGCGTGCAAATCGGTAAAATCATGTAACGTGACTTTTGCAGAATGGGACATGCTTGATTTATAAAAGTATATTTATTCATGTTTTTAAAAGCGTTCCTGCTCCTCAGGAAGATATATGCGCTCCGAGACGGAGCAGAACACGGACATGTAAAGTCATCTTTTAGCTCAAGGTGTGCGCCTAAACGGTCAAATACACGCAGAAATGTGTCAAAATGCACACTGTGCGCACACTGCTCTTGAGTGAAGGACTTTTGTAGCTTTAATAAGAAACTGCTTGAGACTTGCATAAAAAAACAAAAAACATTAAAGCACAGTTTGTTTCATTTGTATCTTTTTGTTCTATTGTATTTGTCCCTTGCTTTTTTATTACGGACATTTTAATTATTTTCAATAATTGAGGACTTTTTGTTTGTTTGTTTGAAATTCCTCTGGTCTCTACAATGTAGATGTCATAGCAACCTTATTTACAGGAAATATATATTTGATATGTATCACTATCTTTAAATAAATCACTCATATAAAGTTTTGGTCATATGGCCCCCTCATAATCGTGTTAAA